CTGCTTTGTTCATCCAGCTCTATACCTTGTTACCTCTATATCTTTCTGCAAACTTCCAGAGTCCTTTGCACACTTTGCTCTACCACTCATCTTAGTGTCATCCGCAAATGTTGACACACTACACATGGTCCCCAACTCCTAAGCATGTGTAAACTGTAAACAATTTCAGTCGCAACACCGATCCCAGAGACACACCACTAGTCACTGATCGTCAACCAGAAAAGCACTCGGTTATCCCCTCTCTGCTTCTTGTTAGTTAACCAATCCTCTAACCATGCTAACACATTGACTGTAACGCCATGCACTTTTATCTTATGCAGCAGTCTTTTGTGCGGCACCTTGTCGAATGCCTTTTGGAAATCTGGATACACCACATGTACCCTTTGTCCACCGGGCTCATAATGTCTTCATGGAATTCCAGTAAATTAGTTAAACATGACCTGCCCTTCCTCAATCCATACTGCGTCTGCCCAATGGGACAATTTCTATCTCGATGTCTTGCTATTCCTTCCTTGATGATAGATTCAAGCAATTTCCCCGCTTCAGAAGTTAAGCTAACGGCCCTGTAATTCCCCGTTCTTTGTCTACCTCCTTTTTCATACAGTGGCATTACATTTGCAGTTTTCCAATCTGCTGGAACTGCCCCAGAGTCCAGCAAATTTTGGAAAATTACCACAAGCGCATTTGCTATTTCTACCGGCATCTCTTTTAGTACCTTGGGATGCATTCCATCACGGCCAGGAGACTAGTCTACATTTAGCTCCATTACTTGCCCAACACTCCCTCTTTCACGATAATGATATTTTCCAAATACTCACATACCTTACTCCCGTCATCAATTACTGTCATGTTATTCGTGTCCTCCATTGTGAAGACTAACACAAAATACCTGTTCGATGCCTCGGCTATTTCCTCATTTCCCATTATTAAATCCCCTTCCTTATCCTCTAAAGCACCAATGTTTATCTTAGCCACTCTTTTTCGTTTTATGTATTTGTAGAAACTTGCTATCTCTCTTTATATTCTGAGCTAGATTACTCTATAATCTATCTTACTCTATAGCTTTTTTTGATGGCTTTCTGTTGCCCTTTAAAGTTTTCCCCCAATCTTCTAGTTTCCCACTGGTCTTTGCCACTTTGTATGCCTTATCTTTCAATTTGATAGCCTCCCTTATTTCCTTAGACATCCATGGCTGACTACCCTTTTTCCTACAGTCCTTTCTTTTCACCGGTATATACTTTTGCTGAGCACATTGAAAAATTGCTTTGAATGTCCTCCATTGTTCCTCAACTGTCCCACAATGAAGTATTTGCTTCCAGTCTACTTCAGCCAATGCCTCCCTCAACCTCTTGTAATCTCCTTTCTTTAAGCACAGGACCCTGGTATTGGATTTTACCTTTTCACTTTCCATCTGTATTCTAAATTCAATCATTCTCTGATCGCTCCTTCAAACAGGATCCCTAATTATGTGATCATTAATTATTCCTGTTTCATTACACAGGACCAGATCTAGGATAGTTTGCTCCCTCGTCGGTTCCATTACACACTGTTCAAGAAAACTCTCGAAGATACTTTCAATGAGCTCTTCTTCAAGGCTGCCTTGACCGATCTGGTTTGACCAATCGACATGTAAATTAAAATTCCCCATGATAATTGCTGCGTCATTTTTACAGGTATTAGTTATTTCTTTACTTATTGCCCACCCCAACGTGATGTTATTATTTGGTGGCCTATTAGACCATGCCTATCAGTGACGTTTTCTTCTTAGAATTTCTAATTTCCACCCAAATAGATTCAACCTTATTCTCCATAGAACTTGTATCATTTCTCACTACCACCCTGATGTCATCCTTAAATATCAGAGCTACACCACCTCTCTTACCTTCCCGTCTGTCCTTCCGAACAGTCTGATACCCCTGGGTATTTAATTCCCAGTCGTGACCATCCTGCAACCACGTCTCCATAGTGGCTACTAAATCATACCCATTCGCGATGATTTGTGCCGTTAACTCATCTACCTTGTTTCAATTGCTATGAGCATTCACGTAAAGTGCCTTTATGATAGTTTTTAATACCTTCTTTTTGAGTTCTAACATCTCCATTAATAATATCGAGTTTTCCTTCCTTTTAACTTCTTTCATAGTCTTCGATATAATTAAACCCTCAACACTTGATTATTAAGATTATCACAAAGTCATGGTCACATTATGACTTGTAAATTGGCTGCTATATATCCTATATAAACAAGTAGAATAGATTTCTGGCATCCACAGTATTTTGATCCTATTAGCAACTACAACTTATACCTTTTATTAAAAGACATGGGCACGCATTTAAAAGATATTATAAAGCAGAATTTGACAAGCATTATAAAGGCAATTAAGGCAGACAGCCAAAACGTTTCTCAAAACAAGGAAGTTGTCAAGACATACTGAAAGTGGAAATGGAGGCAAGAAAGATGGAGGGGATATAGGAGGTAATTACAGAGTTTAGAGTTTGGACAGCTGAAGGTACGACCACAAATGGTAAAATAATTAAAAGCAGTGAAAGTTTAAGAGGCCAAAATGAGATAAGAGCAGATATCTCAAAAAAGTCGAGATACTGGAGCACATTACAGGAGGTAGAGAGGGATGATGCCATTGAGAGATTTGATCATTTTAGGATTGATTTGAATTGAATTTGACCAGGACCCAAAGCAAGCCAGTGGGTACAAATGTGAATGAGACATGGTGTGGAAATCTCTTCCTCAAATAACAATGGAGGCTGAGTTATTGAATTTATTAAAGGTCAAGTTATATTTCTGAAACACAAGGGAGTCAAGGGTTATCAGGGTCAAAGGGGAAGGTGGAGATGAGACTACAACCAGATCAGTCACGATCTTGGTGGAACAGGTGCGATGTTTTCAATGGCCACTTCTCTTCCTAAGTCTGTATTGACGGGGAACAGAGGAATCTAGAGGTAAAAAGGCACTACTGAGGTAATCAACAGATGAGCTGAAACGTGATGTTAAGAGGCATTATGGGGTTGGAAATAGGTAGTCTTAATAACTGCAAGGATATGTGGTTGAAAGCACATCTCTGAATATGACACTGCTTGAACAGCATGGTATAGCCTGTGACAGTTTTTATCTGGAGGCATGTAGTCAGTAGTTGGGAAACGGAAACTGAAAATAATACTTTCAGTTTTTCCAATATTTAACTAGAGGGAATTTTTGCTAAGGAAGTACTGATTGTCTGACAAACAATTTGCAATGGAAGATTCAAGAATAGTGGTAGGAGTTGAATAGAGCTGCATGCCCCCAGCATGCATGTGAAAACCATTGTGTTTTGTGTCATCACCAAGTAGCATAATGGGGATGAGTAACAGGACAGGGCAAAGGATAGCTCCTTGCAGGAACACTACAGATACCTTTAAAAAGCTTCTGCTATTCTCCTTTCTTCAAATACCTACATGAGGCTAGCAATACTTCCGAAGATTTTTTGACAACAAACAAAATGTTTACCAGAAGATTAAGCTGATTGTGCCAAAGTAAACCCAAGTACAAAATTAACATTTTTGCATACTGCATAAATCACAGTGCTGAAGCTTTGTTTTGTGATCAGCAACATCAAAAGAACAGATATACAAGGTAACAGGTGCTCAAACTGTAAGGTAACTGGCAATAAACACTTAAAATTGATTCATTGATGGAATTTGGATGTCACTTGCTACGCCACCATTTATTGCATATTCCTAATTTATCAGACAGCAATTAAGAATCAACCACATTGCTGCAAGTCTAGAGTCACAAGTAAGCTAGACCAAGTAATGAAGGGGTGTGCAGGGTTCTGGCACAGACAAAGCACTAATATCTAAATCAGCAAAAAAAAAAGGAGGTGAAAATCTGCCCACATCACCAACGTACATCTTGTCAGCGTGTCTGCAGCGCTCTAAGAGCCGTTCCCTCTCTGGAGCTTCAGTGAAGGAGACAGACTGACAGGAAAAAAATTTAAAACCCTAAAAAGGGGAGAAAATCTAAATGTGTCTCCTGAACCTGAACACATCAGGGTTCCTGGGAGACCACCTTACTGAGGAAATTGGCACTGAAGGATTTCGCTGTTCTTTCAGATTATGCACATTTATTTTGGGCATTTACACTCACACTTTGCGAAAGGAGTGGTTTGACATGGACCAAGCTTGCAAAAGTTGGAATTTTTTTATTTAAAAAAAGATATCATTTTATTTCTTCTGCTTGCAAAACTTTCCCTCTTCTCCCCCACCCACCCACCCCATCACCCCCTTTTCCCCATCTGTTTTATCAATAAAACAAGGGCTTTTGTCATTAATGACTGGTGTTGGACTGACTTTTTTTGTTTCTCACAACAAGTCTGCAGCTCGGTCAGGATCATAGAAATTAAAGGTTTTCTAAAGGACATTAAAGAAAACTCATCTGGTTCACTAATGATAATCAAGAGGTTACATGGTGTCTTTAGGTTAGTCCAGGTATTAACATGGTGTTTCAGATTGCTAGCCCCTTGATATTAACACTACGCCATTGACTCCCTCCCCAATGTGCACACTCGATATAAAACTGAGGACACAACAACATCCACAATGAATCCTTTCTATAATGCTTTAAATATTTTAGAGAGTTTAGATTATAAAATGAATTCAACCGCTATTTATTGAACTGAATCTGGGGATCAGTTAGCTCAGTTGCCTGAACAGCTAGTTTAAATTGAATGGTCATTAGCCTACATGCCTATACATATAGCAATTTATAAGCAATTACACTTAAGCATAGTAGGCAGTCTGAGTTGATATTTTACATAAATAAAGTCAGCAGCACAGAAACAGGCTATTCAGCTCAATGCATCCACGCAGACATTGATGACCCATACAAGACACCTGTCATCCCTCTTCATCTCAAAGTATTAGCATGTTTCTATTCCTTTCTCCCTCAGTTTTATCTAGCTTTGCTGTAACAACTGACTCTATTACTATGCATATAGATTAGATACCTTTCGTGCAATTGGTTCTTGGTTCTCTTTTAACCCATACCAGCTGACCAGCTTATTCCAGCCTTCTGTGGGTACCAGAATGTAATCCAGCTCATCTATGAGATGCTCCTTTAGAGACAGTGAATCTCCACCTGTGTGGAACAAACAATACAAAAAAATCTGACTTTGGATAAATTCAAACTTGGCTCAAGCCAATAGTAAAAATCACTCAATAAAAAAAAAAAATTGGCTGATGCTTCACAATGTTTACGTGAAATTTTGTGTGTGTCTTATACCAAAAATTATCTAGGAGATACAAACCATCCCTTGTATCCTGACAAAGTTGGGTCAAACACACAAACGCTTACTCGAAGTCATGGGATCTGCTGAGAGCTGGTAAGATGAATGCAGAACCAGCTTAGTAATAGGTAACAGAAAGTAGCGGTGCAAGGGTATTTTGCTGACTGGAGATCTGTGACCAGTGGTGTTCCTCATGGATCAGTATAGTAAGCTGGTAGATGACACAAAGACTGGGACAACTGCAGATAGCGAGGAGGATTTCCAGATGATGCAACAGGATATAGATTGACTGGAGACTTGGGAGGAGAAATGGCAGGTGAAGTTTAATCTGGACAAATGGAAGGAGGGACGTACACAGTGAATGGCAGAACCGTTAATAGCATTAACATAATGAGGGATCTCGGCATACAGGTCCACAGTTCCCTCAAAATGGCAACACAAGTGGATAAAGAATCAAGGAAGCAAACAGGAAGCTTACCTTCACCAGTAAGGGCATAAAGTATAAAAATTGACAAATCATGTTGCAGCTCTATAGAACTTTAGTTAGGCTGCATTCGAAATGTTGTGAACAGTTCTAGTTGCCACACTACAAGAGAGGATGTGGATGCTTTGGAGAGGATACAGAAATGGTTTACCAGGGATATGACATGATTTGGAGGGTATTAGTTAAAGAAGACAGATTGTACAAACTTTGTTTGTTTTCAAAGATGAGCAGCAACCTCTTAGAAGTTTAGAAAATTATGAGCGGCATGGATAGAATGGATACTCAGTCTTTTTTCCAGGATAGAAATTTCAATTATCAGGTGACGCAGATTTATGATAAGAGGGGTTAAGTTTAAAGGAGACGTAAGAGGCAGTTTTTTTTTTAAAAGACACAGAGGATGGTACGTGCTTGGAATGAGCTGCCAGAACAGGTGGTGAACGTGGACAAGTAGCAACATTTAAGAGGCATTTTGACAGATGTATGAATAGGCAGGAAATAGGGGGATACAAACTAGAGGCAAAAGATTGAGTTTAGAAAGGCAGCATGTGTCGGTGCAATCTTGGTGGGCCCCCTGTGCAGTACTTTCCTTTGTTCTTTTGTTGCCTCCAAGTGTACCTTATATGTTTTACAATTCTTTTTGCAGGTAATGCAGCATTTTCCAACAACCCTATTACTAAATATACATCCTTCAAAAATGATTTAATACTGAAATACTAAACATTTAAAGGGAATCATTCAAATCACTCAATGTCTTAATAAAGTCACTGACCATTCAACCTCCCCCAGATCCTCCCATTGCTCAAGCTCATTACTCTTGGAGATGTACAGTGCATAATGATGATTTTACTTAAGTGTTACTTTTGGGGACTTATACATCTATGCTACAACTTCATTACCATTTTGCATCTATCCAAGTATGTATTTAAAATTTCTCTCCATAATTCGCCCCATTTCTCCAGGAGGCTGTGTCCTCACTTGACTGGGAACTCCTAGCAAAGGTGGCATTTCAATCCATGTACAACCACTTCTCAATCAATCCGCAACAGTCACTTCTGCTTATTTATGTCCCCTGATGATCCTGATTTTTCTCACGGTATTACAAAGAGACAATTTTAATACATTAATTAATTTCAGTCAATATGTACAGAGTACTACATTTTTGTTCTACAAATTAATCCTCATACCATCTTTCCTGCTAACACCAAAGTATATGAAACAGAATAGCTATTCAAAATCCCATATGTCATATTTAGAACCTTCGCAGGCTAAATAAAAGGTGCACTACAATATTTACTTTTCATGTAATCCTTTCATATTGACAAGTATTGTTGCAACTTAATCACCTACACCAGATAGCTCCCTGAATACATCCAATCTCAGTTCTTAAAATGTTCAATTTCAAAACCTCAAGTCATCCCAGATCACAAATTCTCACACTAGCAGTGAGGAACACCAGGTGAAAAGTTACAAACGGCAACTTCCATTATAAATGTGAACAGAGAAAACAGATATAAAAATAAGGATCAAATGTGAGACTTCAAAACCAAACTGCATCTATGCACCCTGCTCCCCAAACCTAACTTTGTCTGAAGACTACACTGTCTCAATTTTCTTCGCATGGTATCAGGGGAGTAATGTGTAGAGCTATACTGGGAAGCAGTTTAAAGCAAAAACACAGACAATAGGTCTGAAGTGATTTATAAATGTTTGCATTTCTAGTACTGTGCACACACAAATCAATGGCAGCATTTTCGAAGTTCAAAGGAATTTTTAATTTCTTCTGAAATTTTGTTCACAGAACAAGCAGTCAAGCACAACCATCCTTCATACAAGATAATTGTGGAATTTTCCATTTGAGACAGCAAAATCAAAATCGACTTGGTTCATATCAGCCTAATACTTTCCAATGTAGCTTCTACCTTTGAAAAACTTCTAGGAAGCAAAAGAAATTGGTAAGGAAAAATATTTCTCAAATCATTTACTACAGGAACTAAATGTTAGAATATGATATTTTTGTTAAACAGGCAGTCGTGTTACCTGAGAAATGACAGGCATAAACAAACTTGGCCAAAAATGCACAGAGTTCTGTACTGGATATTTAAAATTTTGGTTGAAAGCTGATCCGCAAATTAAGACCTCAGACCCCAATTAAAACATTAATTGTCCATTGGTGACCAAAAATTTTCCTTAGAACGACTAGACAAATCATTCAGTCAAGTACTACAATTATATCCATCTCTTGGAATGGTTCAAGCCAAGTTACTCAAGTACGAAGTTTTGCTTCAAAGCTTCTCCAATCATATCTCCAAACATTAATAGACACTACTTGATGTCTTCTGACAAAAATACTTCATAGTTTCTTTAGAATGTGACTACGTTAATTTTCCTACCCTCGAGCTGCTATGATTGACAGGTGTACCTGTATATCTAATCTTTAAATGGGTCAGAAATTCCCACAAGACATGGTTGCGAACCTGCCAAAATGGCCAACACCAACTGAAGAATTTTTCCAGCAAATAGCAAAACCTTTACAATAGCTACCGGAGAAGCTTCATTATTTATTTATTTTAGAAAATGTGTTCAATATTAAAAGTGCACCTTAAAGCAGAAAACATATTTGAGTATTTCTGGAAAAAGCTGAAATAGTTTACAACATATATAACCGGTTCATACAACTCATCAAAAATCAGAAAATATCTTCATTTAATCACTACAATTACTTATTTAAAATGACAGTTTTGTTTCTATTCACTGACTCATGCTACAAAGAATCACCTTTTCATGAAAATGAGAACATTTTTGTGTGGAGCAAGAAATTGCCTATATTTTGTTCAAACAAGTCTAACTTCAATATTATAGTTTCAATGGTAATAGAGTCAGAAAACAATTAATATAGTTTTAAAAACAGGCTGGAGTATTCTAGCACTTAACATTACAGCGCATCAAACCACTGAAGCTTCACTGTGGGTATGTAACATTGTTCAACATGCCAGGTAGACAAAGATTGACAAATGGTTGACTACTGTGATTAATTTGATATAACTAATTAAGATGAATCTGCTTTACTCAATTTGACTTAATGAATTTTCAGGTATTGTGTTTCTAACAGTGACATTGCACATTATGTACAGTACACCCATAACTAAATATTACTACACTTTAACCAGAGGACAACAGTTTGCTAAATGCAAAGACCCAACTAACTGCACTAAAATGTTAGCTTTTTAAAAAATAATTCTCAAGTCAAAATACTCCAAACCAAACCCTATCTTCTTGTCATTTTGAAATCTGAAAATTGATAGATGAAAGACTGGTTGAAGCTGAGAATAACGATCCTTTGGTATGGTCATAACAAAGAGAAGACAGAATTCAAAGCTGAGCCCTGCAACATGCACAATTATGGATGCTCAGATAACTGATCATATAGGCCATTTTGCCCTCACATTTAATGCGGATACAAGCCAAAACACGTTTGAAGATTTGAATTTTGGAAGCATAAGTTGCATTGAGTACCTCCATACACCAAAAGGACAGAATGGTTCATATACATACTGCAAGGATCCTTCTCCTGCACTTCTACAGGGCATGGTTAATAGCACAGTTGTTATGTCAGAACGTTTCATAATTAAAAACATAAAGCAAGTGCTCAAACCTTTCAGGAGCCCAGAGTTATCAACAGGGCCAGGATACACATTTTGGTCTCCCATCTGGTATTTGTCCCAGCTATCAAAGCCAACATATTTCTTCCACTGCTTAAACCACCGGCTATCCACCAGGTACCTGAGACGGCAAATAAAAATCGTGTTATTTAATTAATTATTTCAAAGCAATCACAGAAATCTGCAGTGTAGGAGTTGGTCTTGCAGCCCGATGTGCTTGTACGGCTTCTTTCAAAGCATGCGCAAGTACCACTACTTGCTTTTTGCCCGTAACCACGGATTCCTCAAGTGCCTAACCCAATTCCCTTTAAAATTCACGTAAATCAAACTCCAACCATGTTTTCAAGTAGAGGGTTCCAGGTCCAACACAGTAAATTTCCCATCACTCTCCAAATCATTCTCTAATTATTTGGACTCTATGACCTCTAGTGAAGAACCCACTAACCAGAATTTTTTTTTTCATATTTACTCTCATGATAACTCAAACTATTTTGCAAACTTTTATTAGGTCACCTCTTAGTCTGTTTCAAAGATCATGGTTATAACTTTTCCAGACTGCAGGTCACTCATCCTATATCGTGGTATACCTCCTTTGTACTGTTTCCAATGCATTATCAATTGTTTACAAATCTTCAGCAGAGATCAAATCAGTAATTGTAAAGTTCCAGTGTGTGTCTGCTTTTATTTTGATTCCAGTATTTGTAAACTCAAGTATTCCAACTGGTATTTTTCAAAAACCACATTACTGAATTTTGAAATAATTTCTTCTCATTCTCCAAAGGTACTGATTGACACGTAGTATTGAACTGCTACGCTTCTATTTAAATAACCAGTCTGTTGTTCTGAAATCTACAACAATCTTCATCCTGACTTACCATGTTTTGTATCATGTGTACACTTAATAATGTTGCTCCTCTTGAGATTCTAAGTTATTTACAAAAAAAAATAGAAAATTAAACCACAGGTGACATTAGGGAACACCTCCTAGTTTGAAAAACACACCACCAGCATCCCTTGAAATGATAATGACCCAATTCTGTATCCATACTGTTACTTCCCTTTAACTTCATGGGCCTCCAACTTCTTTATAAATACTCTGAATGTCACCTTGTTAAATGTGTCAAAAAGTCTAAACATGCCAAACCTACTGCAGTATCATGATTTTCTCTATAACCTCAAAGCATGCGATCAAGTTAATCAGGCATTATTTGCCTGCAACAAGTTCACACCGGCTCTCCTCCATGAGCTTTCTAAAAAAGAAGTTTATTTTGCTTTTCAAATGGTTTCTAATAAACTTCCCCACCACTGATGCCAGTCTGACTAACTTGTAGGTTACTCCTTTACCCCATTCACTTTCCTGAATCTTGCTGTAACAATAGCAACTTTAAGATCTATTCCTATATTCAACGAGGACTGAAAGCTTGCGATCAATGGTCCTACCATTCTTAAGTTTGATTCGAGTAACCTCAAATACTTCTTATCTGGATGATGTGACTTATCAACTTCAGCAATACTAATCTTGTTAGTAGGTCCGTTTTACCTATCTAGCCTATAACTTTCCGCTCTACATAGCCTAACTTTCATATTTGCTTTCTTTGTGAATAGAATTGAAAAGCACTCTACCCTTGCATAAAGATTTTACTTTGAGTCCCTAATTAGCTCAACATCTGCCCATGCAAACCGCTTTCAGGTTTTTAACAAAATGTACAAAATGGTCACAACTTATGCTACATTCTAAACATTTCTTCATTACCTCTCTGTGTCTCATAGTAAGTTTTTCAATTTCCTCCTCTATTAGCTATTTGTAAGGAAATCCTAACAAGGTACTTTGAAAATCTGATGAAGGGTCTAGGCCCGAAACGTCAGCCTTTCTGCTCCTGTGATGCTGCTTGGCCTGCTGTGTTCATCCAGCTCTGCACCTCGTTGTTACGAATTGAACCTGCTTTAGATGTCTCTTTCCTGTTATTTTATCCTAATTTTAAATACACATGGAGGATGCATTAGCTTTGGATGCTCTAACTTTTCCCTGTAAAGGAATATGGCTAGTTTGTACTTGAACTATTCACACACCCCCTCCAAATGTTGTGTATTGTTCTGTTATTAATTTCAAATTGCCTTTTCTAATTTTTAATAAATTCTGTCTCAAAATACTGAAATTAGTATTAATATTTTTATCTTTGAAATCACCTGGTTTTTTTCTATGATTATTTTAACCCAAAATATGCAATGATTCCTGTTATCTAGATGATTTACTGCTGGAACTCACTTCACTGTAACTACTTAATTTGCCAGAAGCAGATCCAACACAGTTTCCTGATGATAGAGTAGAGACATATTTTGGCCAAAAAAGTGTTTTCTTGTACACATATCAGGAATCTTTTTGTTTCCCTATCATTAGTTTTTCCCAGTCTATATTGGGGTGATTAAAGTCTCCCAACACTACTACTTCTTACATGACTTTGAAATCTGCTGACAAATTTGTACAGCTATTTTCTGTCATATTGCTTTGGAAATCTACAAAACAGCTCCAAACATAAGTGCTCCCTCTCTGTTCCTCAACTCAGGCCAACCAGATTCAACCAACTAGTAAATCCTTTCTATTCAGATCCATAATACCATTCTTAATCATTATGCCACACACCTTTTTTTCTTCTCTATCATTCCTGAACACTTGGAAGCTAGAAACATTAAGAACCGATCTCTGGTCTTGCTCAAGCCAGAGTGTTAATGAAAACACACCATAATTCCAAACCACAGTACAGATGTCAAAATATGCAGATTTTAATCTTTCCTTTATCCCTTTTTCTACTTTCCTCAATCTGGGTGCCAAATTTTTAGGGTATTTCTAATTTTAACTTTTTTTCCTACCCATTGTCTTCTATTTATTTTTGCCAATTTCTGGTTCTCCCTCTTCTCTAAAAGTACCTAAAATAATCCCAAAAAGGACTAACGAACTTCCCAATTAAAAGGGTAAGTCAGCTTTAGGTAAGAAGGAAAGGGACAAAAGAAACATCTCTCTTGAAAGGGTCAAGCTCAGGAGATGTTTCAAAGCTATGCTGGTGAAGCATTAGCTCTTAATTTGGTATAGCATTAGTCGAAATTATGCCATTGCTTTGTTTGTCCAAAAGATGGTGTACTTTAGGAATTCGTCAGCCATGTGATACTTTTGTCGGATTCGAAAATACAAAATAAGCTCCATTAGGACATGTTGGAAAGTTTCTTACCATCATTTTTCATTTTTGTCATGGTCAATTGACAAAATTTGTTGACATCAGAAATTGTAGCTAGATCACTTATTCGGTGAATACAAGGAGATGCCATTTTGCCTCTATTCTTTGTAGAAGTGCCCAGGAAGTTCTTTTGAATCGCTTCCTGTTTTGGGAACAATCAAAAAAAACTATAGAATTTACTGCATTTTAACTTATTTATCTAAAACTGAAAAAGTTAACATTTTTTAAGTAAAGTTCCAAACAACCTAGAAGTAGTCAGAACAAAGGAGTTCCTGGGCACAGCTCTGAACAAGGTAGGCATGAGAACAAAAAACAGTATAAAGCAGGAACAGGCTCTTTGGCCCAACAAGACAGCACCAACAATGGTGCCTTCTTAACAGAAAAACCTTGAGACTCTGCCGAGTTTGTACCTCTCTATTCCCTGCCTATTCATATATCTGTCAAGGTGCTTCTTAAACATTGCTTTGTATCCACCTTTACCACCACCCCTGAAAGCACGTTCCAGGCAAAAGAAAGTGTAAAAATCTTGCCTCTCATCTCTTTTAAACTTACCCCCTTTAACGTTAAAACTACGTTCCTTAGTAACTATTTAATGGATGTCATCTCAATTCCACTTTATATTCCCACCTTTGTTCAAAGCCCTAAATAAGCTACACACAATTGAGAAAATGTTCTTTTCCCAAGGAAGTCATAATTACAAACTAAAACAGAAACTACTGGGAAAACTCAGCAGATCTGGCAGCATCTGTGGAGAGAAAGCAGAACTAACATTTCAGGTCCAGCAATCTTTCTTCAGAACAGGTCACAATTACAATGCTTTTGGATTCTCAGAAGAATGATGTAGAAGAAAGTCACCTTAATCTAGCATTCCCTCAATGACCTCAAGTCTAGATTGAGTCCAAAAGTTAAAACGGCACTAAAAGCCAACTGATAATAGATATGGAACAGCTGATTTTCTTGGTCCTGTTTGATACAGTTCACCCATAAATGACACCCCTTTCTTCTTTACTTTTCTCTCTGCATCCTCTCTTGGCACCCCCTATCTACGATTGCCATACCAATGATGAACTTGTACTGGCTAAAAATGTAGATGCTATTTGGGTCTGATTGGTTTTAACCTCAAAGTCCGTCATTACAACTGAGAGTGTAGACGCATTTGGCATTGCTAGCTAATTTGGGATGGAGAGCCACCAGAAGAAAAATGCTCAGAAGTTTACAGTTGGACAAGCACAGCAAGCAGTTTACTGTTAACTTGATGATTAGTATGGGAAAATACATTCTTACTCTTTGCAAGGCAAGGACCATGATTAATAAGGCTTCAAACAGAAGTGATCCAAGATTAAAATAAGTTACAATGCAACAATGGATACCATATTTCATTAATTATATCCATATATTCAAGCACATGTAACCAATAATTAAACCAATACAATTATGCATGTTATCCAGTACAAATCTCTTCCGCAAAGATCAAAAAGTTTAAAAACTTCAGTATCCCAGGAAAATTACCATATCAAAAGGCACTTCACATTTTCAAAGGTTAAAAAGTCTTTTAGAAGTTGCCAACACAAACGATTCAGTACATAATTAGTAATTGATAGGCAAGTTCAGCCTCAGCTTACAACTTCCAAAGGCCACCAGGTTGTTGAAAAATGGTGCCATAAAACCAACAATCACTGTTGAATTTACAACTGCAAGCATTAAGAACACCAGAAGTTCAAGTTCAGATTCCTTGGCAAAATCAAAAATCTAGAAATTCACAGAACAGCAGATCAACTGCCTCATTATATCAGTGAGCTGGTTCTTCACTGGGGCACTCCGACTGTCCTACCTTTACCCCATAGCCTTGCATCATCCGGTTTCAAAATATGCAACGGAATCTCCCGCAACC